GTCAGGCACTTGGCTTCGAGATGCCAGTCCTGCCCTCTCCTGGCTGTGCAGCTGAGCACCTAAACCTCCGCAGGGCTCACTTTCCTATCTGTAAGCCGGAATCATAGCTACCTTAGTAAGTCATGGTGCAGATGAAATGAGACCAGGCTCTGCAATGCACTTGGTTCAGCAACTGGCAAAGTGTCATCTGCCCCCATGATAAGCACCATCCTTTCCCTCTTCAGAGATGCTTAGCAAGGTAAATGGGGTTTCAGTGCGAAGATTCACAGTGTAACCAAAATTGAAAGCCGTTCATGATTTTGGCCTGAATGGGAAGTTAGGGAAACTCACAAAGCAAAGTTAAAAAAAGGAAAAAAGAAAAGCCATCAAGGAGAATAAAAACTGGTTGACATTTCATTTCATTTTTTTAAACAGACCCGGAATTTACTTTTTTTTTCTTTCTTGCTCTCTTTGACCAACGAAGAGGAATTTGCTTTTTTAATGTACATGCTTGTCAAGCAATTCTGGTTCAAATGATGAAATGAATACATGCTCAGGTTATTAATTCAGAAATAGTAATGTTTATTCTATTATGCCAAAAATTAAGCAGAACTCTGAACGGTGATCTCTAAAAATGAGTCTGAAAAATAATCATCTAATTCCAGTAAAGGGCTCTCACACTTTTCAGATTTTAACTCCAGGCCTGGTGCAGTGGCTCACGCCCGTTATCCCAGCACTTTGGGAGGCCAAGGTGGGCAGATTGCTTGAGCCTAGGATTTTGAGACCAGCCAACATGGTGAAATCCCATCTCTACTGAAAATACAAAAATTAGGCGGGTGTGGTGGTGGGTGCCGGTAGTCCCAGCTACTTGGGAGGCTAAGGCAGGAGAATTGCTTGAACCCGAGAGATGGTGGTTGCAGTGAGCCAAGACCTCACCACTGCACTCCAGCCTCAGCAACAGAGCAAGAGTCTATCTCAAAAAATAGTAATAATAAATTTTAACTAGTTAAAAATACATAAAATTTACCATATTAATTGTTTTTAGGTGTACAGTAGCGTTGTTTCTTCATACTGATCTGCAACAGATCCCAGAACTTTTTTGCCTTGCAAAACTAAAACTCTGTACCCATCAAACAACTACCTTCCCCACCTTGTCCCCCAGTCCTGGTAAATACTATTTTGTTTTCTGTTTCTATAAATTTGACTTTAGGTATCACAGAAGTGGAGTAAGACAGGATTCGCCCTTTTGCAGCTGGCTTATTTCACTTAGCATGGTATCTTCAAGGTTCACCCACGTTACAGCAAGGGTCAGAATCTCATTCCTAAGGCTCAGTAGTACCCCATCTCATGGGTACACCACCTTGCTTGTCCATTCATCTGCTGATGGACGCTGTGTTGTTTCTGCCTCTCGGCTACTGTGAACAGTGCATCTGTGAATGTGGGTGTGCAAGTGTCTCTTTAGACCCTGCTTTCTTTTGTATAAACACCCACAAGTGGGATTGCTAAATCATACGTAACTCTGAGGAAAACCTCCATGCTGGTTTTCATTACAGCCATCCTAATGAGTATGGCGTGACTATCTCACTGTGACTTTGATATTCTTTTCTCTAATGATCAGTGATTTTGAGCATCTTTTCACGTGTCTATTGGTCATTTGTAAATACAACTGTCCCTTGGTATCTGTGGGGGACTTGTTCCAGAACTTTCCACAAACCAAAATCTGAGGACGCTGGGAGTGTTTGCATGTAACCTATGCACATCCTCCCGCATCATTTAAATCCTCGCTATGTTACTTATAATACCCAATGCAACGTAAATGCTACGTAAATAGCTGCTATACTGTATTGTTCAGCTAACGATGAGAAGACAGGCTGTACAAGCTCAGCATGGGTGCATTTTTTAAATAAAAATATTTTCAATCCATGACTGGTTGAATCCAGGAATGCAAAACCCACGACTAGAGAGTGCTGACTGTATATCCTCTTTAGAGAAATGTCTGCTGAAGTCCCTTGCCCTTGCTCATTTTTAAATGAGGTTGTTTCACTGATGTTGAGTGGTAGGAGTTGTCTATATATTCCAGATACTAACCCCTTATCAGATACATGATTTGCAAGTATTTTCCCTCATTCCACACTCTGCACAGAAGACTGATGTCGTCTTAGTTTCACTTTTCTTGCCCATGTGTCGAGCGTCATATCCAAGAAATCAGTGCTAAATCCACTGTCATAAACCTTTCTCCTGTTTTCTTCTAGAAATTGTATAGCTTTATTTCTTTAGTCTTTAATCCACTGAGTTGATTTTCAGATACGGTGACATATAAGGGTCTTCACAGCTCTTCTTGTGGGTCTATGAAATAAAGGGCCCCAAGCACAGTCACGTATGTGCACGTTCACACACTCAAGCCAGATCTCAGACTCCCCAAGGTCATATTCTGCTCCTACGACTGGTGTCCTTCCCTTTAACCTCCTCTCTGTTCTGGCCTCACTAGCACTGACCTTTGTCTGCTAATCGAATGACAATTGAGTTTGAAGGAAACATACGCCAGCAAGGAAAAGCGACAACAGAACCCTTCCAGGTTTTACCAAAACCACCTGAGACATGGATAAAACTAGAATTCCAGCCAGTGGGATTCCTCCTTTCCCCTGGGCCACTACATAAAGGTAACTGCACTACGGTCCCATATCTCTTGCCTGTGGCCTCCGTATCCATCTCTTTTTAAAAGACAGGGTCTCACTGTCTTTTAAAAGGACAGTGGCACAACAGCTCACTGCAGCCTTGACCTCCTAGGCTCAATGGATCTTCCCACCTCAGCCTCCTGAGTAGCTGAGACTCCAGGCAGGTGCACAGCACCACACTCAGCTAATTTTTTGTAGAGATGAGGTCTCACTATGTTGCCCAGGTTGGTCTTGAACTCCCGGGCTCAAGCGATCCACCTGCCCCAGCCTCTCAAAGTACTGGGATTACAGGCATGAGCCACTGTGCCTGGCCCAAATGCACAGTTCTAAACATGAAAAGTTTTGAGTACTTCATTTGGCAGGAAAGTCTGACCTGAACTGGCATGAGGCTACTCGTGGTCTTTTTCATCCTGCTTATATTTTGCTGCAGAAATATCAGTTTGATGAAGTGTTGCCCCAGGCCCCAAACAGAATACGCACATACCACTTTACTAAAATCAGAAAAATCCAGAATTCTGAGACACATCTGTTTCTAAGATTTTTGAATAAGAGGTTGTGGCTTATGCTATTTTTCCTGACTATGGCCTCACTTTCTGCAGAATAGTTATGTTTCTTCCCGATAAATTTGTTTCCACCTGTTGATGCTAATGTTCTCTCTCATGATACTTATAAGATAGCTGATTTTTCCTTTTTTTTCTGTTTTTTAAGATAGCTGATTTTAACAAAAGGTGGCACACCAATTAAAGACATGGTAAGTTTCATTTGCTGTGTATCATCCCTAATTTGAAGACCACATGGCATCTACCCAGGTTAAAGTTATCATTATCTAGGGATGTCTACATCCATCTAGATCAGTCTGCCAATTCCATCAAGGTCTGTATTGCAAAATCGCTAAATAACACATGGTTCTTCCATTTTGCACAATTATTTTTTCAAACCAAAGTTCACATACTGCTGGTAGGAACAGGTTCAAATAGGGAATGTTGATACATATCAACATCCTTTGAGACAAACCTGTTCACACAATGAATGTGGCGCCCAGGGCCACCCTACTTTCTCTCACAGACCCTGACATCATCCAGGTCTTGTGTTGTTGGTAGTGCTAAAACTTTAGGAAAATTAAATTTAATAGAGTTTAATTGAGCAAACAATGATTTGGGAATCAGGAGCCCCTCACACCAGAACAGGCTGAGCAATTCCAGTGCCACTGCCTGGGCGAAGACTTAGGGACAGAAGGGGAGACATATAGAAAGCAGAAGTGAGGCCTGGAAACAGCAAGGTGGCTACAGCTCACATCTGGCTTATTTGAACAGTTTGAACGGCTGGCCGCCTGTGACTGGTACAAGAGTAGGTTACAGTCCATTCATTTATCCAGTTAGATTACAGTTCACTACGTATGGAGAAACCTCTAGACTAAACTAAAAGTATGCAAGGAGGCGGCTTCAGGCAACATGAAAGAGTAGTGTGTCCTTACAGTGTGAATCAGGGCTTCTCGGGAATTCTTCATCACCTTCTGGTCTTGCAAATATTGCCCACGCCTTTAGTTTTGTTACCTGGTTGCTCTGTTTTTATGGAATTATGAGAAACTGAAAAACTGTCACTGCTGGTGACATTTTCCCACAATCTCCACTTTAAAAAATTCCCATAAATGCTCGCTCCTGAGCGCGTTTTCCCCTGTAGTCACGGGGGCAGGGGCTGCAGAAAGCAGCAGAGACAGGCAAAAACCCGCAGCTGCAAAAAACGCACTCCTGACAGCAAGTAATGGCCAGAACTAAAAGACACTGTGCCCATTCTGTGTCACTGCAATTACCTAATTTAAATGGCTCTGAACAAAGAGAATTTTTATCTGAGGAACGCGAGTCCTTTTAATTATGAGGCCGAAACAGGCATCAAATGAGGCGACGATCACGCCCAACTCTGCCTTGACCTACATGTTCCTCTCCTGCTACTGCTGGTGGCAACACCGCCACAAGCAGCTACAGATCAACCTAGTAACGCCACACTGGACACTGCACCCACGCGCTACAGCTGAAGAACGCTGAGTCAGTCACTAATCAACGTTATTTCTGTAAGCCAGAGATAATTCCTCACAAATGAGTTCCTATTAGTGCACTCCCCGGCCCCCTTTTTTGCCTTTAAAATCCACTCCTAACTGCTAATTGGAGGATACATTCCGGCACCTTGAATTTGTGCTCCCAGGCTGCAATCCTCCAGCGTGGCCCAAATAAAGTCTCTGCCTAGAAAAACGGTGCCTCTACCTTTTAGGCCGACAGTTTCCAAAATGTTTACTAACATGAGAAAAGCCACCACATAAAAGTGGGAGGAAAAGGCAAACACAGGGTAATCTCAATTGCACATAACATTTATAAACGTCATGACAAAGATACTCAGTAAAAAAGGAGCACGGGCACGCATTAGGCCTGAAAAACCACAGCCCAGAGCGGCCTCCCGCCTCCCGCCTGGGCCCCCAGGAGCCGGGACCTCGGCCGCCGCGCCCGGCCACGTGTTCACGAATCTGTTTCAGGGACTCGCTCTGCCGCGCAGGCTGGTCTCCAGCCACCGGCTCGGGTGATCCGCCGGCCTCAGCCTCCCACAGCGTGGGACTCCGGGCCGGGCCGCCCGCCTGCCCCCAACTCGTTATTTCACGTAAATTCCCGACGAACGTGGAAACTGCCTCTTCTTGCAGCTGATGCTCATCCGGGTTCGCCCGGGGCTGCTGCGACCACGCGCCGGTGCCCGCTCTCCCGCTGCGGTCGCTCGGATTTTCCGAACCCACCAGGGGCTTCCGGGCGCCTTGTCCCAGGCGGGTCCACCGCCTGCGCGGGCCGAAGGCGGCGCCCCTGCCCCTGCGCTTCCGCGTGGAAGTGGAGGTCGGAGGAAGAGCAGACCGCAGCCCATAAGCTCCCGCGGCGTTGGGTCCGTGCGGGACACGCGGCACGGACACCCGGACGCCGACCGCCTCAGGTCTCTGGGACCGTGGCGCGCACGGCATGCTGGGACCCGTAGTCTCGCGACGTTGGACTCGCAGGGCGCGACGGGAGTCGAGGAAAGCGGCTCGCGGTGCATGCCGGAACTCGTAGTCTCAGGAGGTCGGGTCTCGACGCGAGACGGGGTAACGGGACGCACGCCCGCGTTGAACGCTGGGACTTGTAGTCCCGCCATGCCCTGCCCGCGGTGCACGCCGGGATACGTACTTCCGCGCTCGGCGGGATCCGCACTGGGACCGGAGAACAGTGGTCCGCGCTGCATGCCGCTTCTCCACGGCTCTGGCGCTCCGAGGATGGGTAGGGCGCAGGAAAGCAGTTAACCCGGGCCGGCGCGCAGGCTTGGTCCCAGGACAGAGCCGTCCTCGACCCCTCGCGGCGCTCCTGTTTGCACGCGCACGTACGCCAGCACGCACGCGGCGCTCCGGCCGTGACGTCACGCGCCCTCCAGGAAGTCGGCGCGGGCCGAGCGGCGGGTGGAAGCCGGTGCCGAGAGGAACTGCAGTGTCGCCGCCTGGGTCGGGTCGCCGCGGTGGGCGCCGCGCTCTGAGCGCCGCGCAGGCCCCGTAGCGACCGCCCGTCCGCTCTCTGTCCACGATGGAGGTGCCGTTCGCGGGCCATGTTCCCGCCGAGGGTGCCCCGACGGCGGCTGTGGCCGAGGTGCGCTGCCCGGGGCCCACGCCGCTGCGCCTGCTGGAGTGGAGGGTGGCGGCCGGCGCGGCCGTGCGCATCGGCTCGGTGCTGGCCGTGTTCGAGGCCGCGGCCGCCGCCTCCGCGCAGCCCGCCGGCGCCCCCCAGTCCCGTGCAGTCTCCGGGGGCTGCGTGCGCCCGGCGCGGGCAGAGCGCAGGCTGAGGTCGGAGCGCGCGGGCGTGGTGCGGGAGCTGTGCGCGCAGCCGGGCCAGATGGTCGCCCCGGGGTAAGTGCGCCGGGCCGAGCGGGGCCGAGGGCGGGCGGGCGGTGGTTCGTTACCGGGCCCTTTGGTGGGCAGGGGCGCCCCAGGGGACGGGGCGATAAGGCGGGACGCAGGCACTACGCCTTTCCCCTAAACCGGGTAGTGACCACCTGTGGTTTTACCAGTGGGGAGCATTTTGAGGTAAAAGGGGAGGGTCCCGCATGGCGACCCGAAGTTGCTGTTTGGGAAAACGATGGTGTTTGTTTCTTTTCTTCTGCCGCGATCGGCCCCGCCCCCTCCTTTAGCTCCACCTTTGTGAGTTAGGAAAACTCCTGGGTGGCTGTGAGCAGTCATCGGGCAGGCTCCAGACCTGTTATTGAAATATAAACTGTTGGGTGTGTGCACATCTTTAAGTGTTTGTAAACTTTGTGAAACGCAGTTGTAAAACCTGGTGCAGTCGTGCTTCGTGGCTGCGGGACGGGCGGAAACCAGGCCTTGCAGCAAAGGCAGTGGCCCATGGTTGACCACTGTGGGCACTGTCTCAGGCTGCTTCAAGGTGACAGGGTAGTACGTGGTCGTGTGACAGACTGCACAGCTGTCGGTACCTGTGCTTTGATCCCATACGGGGGTGTCCTTCTGTAACATGGAAGTGTCCAGCCATGTCTGTGTCTACCTTTTGTATTCTGGGATAGGCGGCACATGGGCACATGTGTTGTGAGAACAGAAACTCCAGTGAGAGGTGGGCACTCCAGCCTGCGCCAGGCGTGAGCTCCCTCTGGGAATGGTGCCACTCCTGGGGACGCCATCTCACCCTCATCTGCAGTCACTGGTCCTCGTTCCTGTGGCTTGCACTGACGCTGTTTTGGTGAGGATCTGCTACGCACCTGCTTCTGCAGGAGTGAGGACGGGCACAGGGCATCTGCCATCACAGCCCCAGAAGGTCCTGGCTCCGCTTCGTTTGGAGACACAGCCTGGGTCCTTGACGCTCGGCACAGGCGCCCACTTCTGTCCCCTCCATGCTGGTGGGTGGGGTTGGGAGGTTCGGGGCCGTGCTTCCCAGGAAATGCCTGCACAGCTTCCTCTGTAAGCACTGGCCATACCTCCGAGGATAGTGGAGGCAGACCTCAATGCTGGTGTATTCCCTGCGCAGAAAACCCCAGGATGGAAGAGCCTTCTGATGTTTCGTTTGTTCTCTGATTGTACAGAAAGGGTCACTTTGACCTAGGCAGGTGGGTAACTTGGTTATGTGGCCAATTAGTATTGAAACTCCATGTTCAATCAGCCTAGTGAATAAAATCAACCAGTACATCAGCCAGCCAAGTAATTAGTTAATGACAGGTTCCCAGCAGTCAGCAGTGTTTACGGGGAGGTGCTGTTTGAGATCTTGGGGTATCTCACAGCACTGAATAGTCACGGCCCTTTGAGAAACTGATGTGATATCATTTCTCCTCAGATGGAACATCTTTGTGGCACCAGGTGTTCCTCTGATTCTCAGAGGCTCATCTCTCTGCCACTGGTCCATGGATGGCAGGTGAATCCCTGCCTTAGAGAAAGCCACAGACTGTGTTACCTGGAATTCAAGGTGCCTCCTTCCCCATTTTTGTGTACTCCTGTGAGTTTGTGTATTGGGGTTTTGTGAGCATTCTGGGGAGTATGGTAGTGTGACCTCAGCATTTCTGGAGGTGTTCCTGCCCGTGCAGTGAGCATGGGTGCCATAGATCCAGGAAGGAGCAGCTGGCAAAGGCATTAGTCTAAAGCCCTGTGTGTGTGTGCCCTGGGAGTTCTGGTCATCTGTTTGGAATCGGGTTCCTGCCTCGAGGTTGCATTAGGTAGCTGAATTCGGGAGGTGCATTTGCAGCAGGAGTCCGTGCTGCTGACGGCTCCGTGTGGTTGTGTGCGGTCCAGATGAAGCTGCCCTGGCTCTGGGGCTGCTGTCTGGAGATGTGTTGGCCTCTGCAAAATGCCTGCTGCACCTTTGTGGAACACAGTTGAAAATTACTAGATTAAGTCACTTGCTGACAGAGTTTGTGAAAAGGGTGGGTTACAAGTGCGTTTCTCTGGCAGCCCCCTGTGGTGGGAGTAGTGCCCTGCAGTGTAGCCTCATGGTGATATCTCTCCGTGGAGAACTGCAGGTGGAAATCTCCGCAGCTTTTGCTTAAAGCCCAACAGTGATGGATTTCTCCACTTTGTGAGTTCCAGCTCTGTAGTTCTTTATACACAGTTTACAGCAGACCTTCGAACAACATGGTTTGTTGTTTGAGGGTCACCTTTATGTAGATGTTTTTCAGCAGGTCGTCTGTTCTCTGCATCCGTGGGTTCCATGTCTGACACTCTTTGTTGAGTGTGGAGCGCAGCCTGTTTATACAGAAGGCTGACTTTCTGAATTCGTGGGTTCTCAGGGCCGATGCGGGACCTGAGTATCTCTGGAGTTTGGTATCTGAAGGAGTCCTGGAGCCAGTCCCCACGGATACTGAGGGTGACTGATTACATGTGGAAGTCTTTCTGAAACAGATTGTGCCGCTTTGTGATGAAGTGGAGAATATTGGGTGTGATTGCATCCTAACATGGGAAGGTGCTGGCCATGAGTTTAGTCCTTGTTTCTCTGACTTTTCTGGGATGTTGGTTGGTGAAGAGCCATGTCCCTTCCTCCAGTGAGCCTGAGTCACACCACTTTCACTTAAAAGGTTTTTCCTGTGTTTTTCTTTTTTTCTCTGATTGCTGGCGTGGCCATTTCCAGCAGCAGCTTCATGGTTCTTTGAGGCTGGAAGGTGAGGATGTCAGGGAAGAGGAACTGTCCAGAAACCTTCCGTGCTCTGCTCACCAGCCCGGGTGTTTGACTTTCACTAAGCGAGTTCCCAGGATTGCACATGGACTGCTTTAGAATTGACTTACCTTGACCAGCTCCAAAAGTTTTCTTGAAGTTACAGGTTCCTGAGATATTTATGTGGGAGAGCAAGCATTTGATTGAAGTTTGCTTTAAATTAAGTTTGTAGACTGATTATTTTGAGTCGATCCCTAGACAACGCCTTTCAGATGATGTAGATGACACACCCTTGTACAGACAAGCATGGGCAGAATCCACAACTGCTTTTGAGGAAGTTCTGACCCTGACTTCAGCTCATCCACGTGTGAGGGTAGGGGAGGTGCAGAATCTGCTCCTGGGCCTGTCCTGAAAAAAAGAGTCTTCCCCCTGTTTACATGGACCTCCGAGCACCGACAGAAGGTGCTCTCTTGGTTAGAGAGAGCAGGTCCTTTGCAGCTGACGGATCAGAAACTCAGGTGTCAGAAACAGGGTTTCAGGGTGGCTGCCTGAGGAATATGTGGGCAACCTTAACAGCCAAGAGCAGACATGGGAATTCTGGCTTGATGTGGCACCTATGGGGAGGCCACACAGTTTGGATCCCTTGAGGGATCACTGGGCCTCAGCATGCCCTGCTGGCTGTGTGGTGAGCCTTTGGAGAAAGTCTTGGGACAGGCAGCCCCCAGTTTCCCCAGGAGTGGTGTTGAGGACATTGCTGACAGGTGTGGAATTCACGGCGCGGACTGTGGTGTCTCTCTTGAGGCTTGGCTGCTGTCTTCACCCTGTGGGTGTTGCGGATTGGCTTCTGGTCCACACGGCTTTGGGACTGGGGGGTGCCTACCTGTTATTATTCCTTCATCTTGATCTTTTCACAGGGCTTATAAAAATACTTATTTTTTAGGAACAATGGGAAGTATCTTGAAAAGATATTGTTAAATCTGTTAAACTGGCGCTTTCCGAGAGCAGACAGTGGCAGCAGCCTGAGTGTGCATGTAGGGCTGAGCTTGGGTGTCTGCACATGTGCCATCGCCTTAGTGAAGGTGGCTCTTGACCCCACTGGCCACCAGCTCTTAATGCTACCTATTTAGCTGAGACTGTGTTTCAGAAACTGAGAGGTGTGGGTGTGGCTTGTATACATGCAGCCAGCGCAGTCACAGTGCTGAGGAAGCAGAGTACATAGCAGAGTACGTGCCGAGCCTGAGTATGGATTAGAGCGTCAGTCTCAGCAATCCTTCTTAGGTCGGAATTGTAACAAAGAAAGAGGAATCCCACATGGGTATGTGTGTGTGAGCCTTGTGTAGTGTTGATTACTGAGGCAGAGCGCTGCAGAGAGAGGGAATGGAGCCCGTGGCTCCATCAAACCTCCCTAGAGAAATAGCAGGTGTGAGTGAATCTGTGAAAAGCACCAGCACTATCCAGGCAAGGTATGGTTGTGTCCTTGTCACCTGCATTGTTGTGATCAGCAGCGTTCCTCCTAACGACATCAATGGTTATTTTTAGACAAAGAACCATTCTGGGAGCTTAAAAACACTGCATTTGGTATAGTTGCAATAATCACTAGGTTGTCGTTTTGATTTTTATTAAGATTGTATGTTTTTATAGTGCTTCATCCTGTCTGGCAGAAGTAAGAACTTCCTTACTCTACAGGAAAGAAACAGATTCTAAGAAGTTTGGACCTGCCCTGCCCCTTACAGC